TGAGCTAAATGCACAAGCTTTCAAATGACACATACAAAATGTAAAACCTTTATTTGTTACAAACACTGCTGATAAAGCGAAGTAAATGAGCTTGCTACTAATCAATAATCATCATCATCAGGTATATCGGTCTACCTAAGAATTTGTTGGATGAGCACATTGTGGCCCTAGCCCTACGTTTCGGCGCTTTCGTTGGCCTGAACTCCAGCTTATCAAATGTCTCCATTAACTTTGCCGGTTCTAGCCTTCCTTTGAAAAATGATGAGACCGTAAGGGGCCTGCTATGGAAACGTTTAGATAGGAAAAAGAGGCAAAAATTGGATACTGAAGGAAGTCAGATCACACTCGACTAAGTGACTTCCAAAAAAAGACTTCGGCAGCTTAACCACGTTTGGTATAGGATGAGGTTTTCATAGAACTGAGGGGAGGAATTTGGACGTGGCAAGATGAGCTCTACAAAGTAAGCATTGTGAAAGTCATATGTAGATACAAAATTCGTTCATGCTTAGCGGAAACTCTGGGGAAGAGGACTCCAGAGCTTTAACATGGGGGAGGGAGTCGTAACGTGTGGGTGGCAATAGAAAGTTATCGCGACGCGGCGTTACAGTGATCCGCTAGAGATAGCAGCATCCTAGCAGTAGAGCAGGTGACTCGTTTATGTTTGAATCATCTTCGGGCCGCATGCATTGGCATTCCTGCTGGGGAGGGGATCGCAGTTTAGAAAGAAAGCTTCATATCCTGAAGCTCCAGATATCTGGATTTCACGCTGTCTACCTATCTGTAAGTATTCCTACCATCCTATGAACATATTGAACAGGAGCGAGAAGCTGTACAAGCCTCATTTTCCAGCTTTTTGTATGATCCTCTGATGATCACCGAAGGACGACCGTCTTTTGTTCGAAGTCATTTTTCTTTGGTTAACAAAAGCCTTTCGAATTTGTACTAACATAACAGTGCTGAGCATGTTGGTGATGAGAACAAATTAGTTTTTGGAAAATCGAATTTTTCGTTAAACCCTAACTTTCGACCTGTGGTTCATCGCAAATTTCATGATTCCAAAACATCATGTGTTCTTATCAGCAACATGCTTGGCACTGTTGGGTTAGATGATTTGCACAACTTTAAAAGCTTTTCGTTAACTTCGAAGGAAGAAAAAAACTTCAAAGAAGCGCCAAGGATCACGAGGGGATCATGCGAAATGCTGGAAAATGCGGCTGGTACAGCTTTTTCCTGCAGTTTGATATGTTCATTGTGAAGGATGGTAGGAATACTTACGAGTAGGTAGACAATCTTCCAAGCTGCGATCCCTTCACCGGTGGGAATGTTAATGCATGCGCCCTTAGATTATCAATGTAATACAAGAACTGCAATAAAAATTATAATCATTTTTTGAAATGTTGTAGTCTTCTACTTGTACATGTACTTATACTGGATCCGGGACACTTGTAGAATGGTAGATTTATTAGTAGACCGGATATGAATAAGAACAAACGATAAGACGAGACGAATGACTTAGCTAGGCTGCGAGCGCCTTATATAGCGCTCAGATTTCGCGCATAGGTCAATACAATACCAATAGATCCTAGAGGTTACAAGCCGATAACAACACAAAACAAAACAACAAGTTACTCTCCAACATAAAAACTGTTGGAAATCGAGGTTTTGCGGTTTCTGAGCAAAAATGAAGCCAACAACAACCTGAATCGGACATATCAAAGTGAAATTGTAGGCAGCGTGTTGCTGGAGATTGTCTCATTGCACTCATGAGAATAGGAATGCAATTGGAGGGCGAAATTAGATCTGGCGCTCTGAAGTCAAATGCATCGAGTTTGAAGGGGCATCTGTCAATAACTAACAAGATGGTCAGAAGTCGAAGTGGCCAATCCAAGCAAGCTGTCCACCTTTTTATTGCAGCATTCAAGGCTGATTTCGAACCTGTATTCCATTCTATATTTTGCTCAATGCCTTTGTGGACGAAGTTATGGGCAGTTACTGGGAAAAAGTTGTACTAAAAATTGCAAAATTGGTCACACTGTTGTGCTTTCAGCTCGCCTTTAGGCTGTAAGATTATTGAATAAACTGGCTGCATGTTTTAGCACGAACAGGCCCTGTACTGCTAAATTTGCGCTTTGCATGCACGACTTCTTAGCGAAATAACGGCTTCCAACGGCTCATTACTTCGTCCACAAAGGCGCTAAGCAGATATGGATTACAGATTCGAAGTCAGCGTTTTGTGCTGCATCTAATGGCATGCAGTTCATTTGGTTTGGCCTTCGATTTATGACCATTTCTTTGTTAGCTGCAAAACTTCAAAATTTCCCGAAACTTCGCGTAGTGAGATGATTCAACATGCTGAACACGAGTGTCATATCATTTGTTGCTAACAAGGGAATGGTCAGAAACGAAGTAGCCAATTCCAGACAAGCTGCATATCATTAGATGCAGCATAAAGCGCTGACTTTAAATCCGTCTTCCTTACCTGCTTATCGCTTTTCTGGACGAAGCTATAAGCCATTAAAGACCATTATTTTGCTAAGAAATTATGCGTAAAATTGGAAATTAAGCCGTACAGAGTCACGTTCGCCTTAATGCTGGGCCAAAACCTGCAGCTAGCCTATTCCAAATTTTTAGAGCCGGAAGCTGAGCGAAAAGTGCAACAATGCGCTTAATTTCGCCATTTTTATGTATGATTTTTTCATAATAAAACCGCTTGTAGCTTCTCCACAGAAGCGATAAGCAGATAAGGAAGACAGATTTAAGTCAGCGTTTTATACTGCATCGAATGATATACAGCTTGTTTGGTTTGGCCACTTCGACTTCTGACCATTCCCTTGTAAGATGAAAGTTCATACCTTAACCTTACGGAGAAAGCTAGCCGCGAAATAAATATCTCTGTAATCAGCATGTCGTATGCCTTTATCCCTGAACCAAGCTTTAGGAAAATCTGAAGCAATCTGGAAATTTTCTTCTGTACTGAAAACCTAATGCGACCTACATGACGAAATACGGCAAAAAAAGCTGCATATGTAACCTACATCATAATCTTCCTAATACCAAAGATTGAATATATTATTTTACAAATGACAAAAGTTACATGGAAAGTTGCAATACTTTGTGACAACCCAATTTTGAGAAAAAAAGCTTATACGTAACAGGCTCTTCCATCAAGATGCGATCGAACCAGGACCCGGCACGAGTCCGTTTCTAGGCTTTTCAAAAACGAAGTCCCCCCTGACTTTCGAGAATTTTATGAAGTCCCCTTTGACCCTTGCTCTACCCTCCCTCCGATTGTTGGTGGATCCTTGCACCTACTTCTCAAAAAAACCATCTACCTGCTGCGAGCTACGAATCTCGCGATTTCAGGTCAAACTCTCAAAGAAAAACCACAAAATCCGCAAGGGTCACAGAACGATCAAAGATCACGAGCCGAGAAAAGAAGAAGAACAAGAAAGAAAATGGAAGAAATCATCAAAATATTGAAGAAAAAGCTAGAACTGAAAATGAAAATTTAAGAGGAGAGGATGCAGAAAAGTTGACGCTGGGGCGCGATATCTAATAAGGCGATTTTCGGGAAAAAAGGATAAAAACGACGGACAGGGGGTGATATGAACATGTTTCTATGCTCAGGGATAGATTCTTGGCCGGGGCATGCTAAAAAGATCCAAAACTTATGTGAAGTGACGAAAACACATGCTCCAGACGATCCCAGACCGTCTGGTGGCCGTCTGGAGACGATCTAAATTTGGAAAAGGTATTATTTCACATAAGTTTTCAAACCTTCTTACATAATCTTTCATAATTTCCGAAGTATACAGTTCGATTTTGGTGCCATATGATGCGCTGTGTGCGCTGTAAACAAGCATTTTTTTTATTTTAGCCTTGCTTTCGCGCACTTCTCGCCAGACTTTGGCATTAGAGCGCGATATTTAACAAAGCGAGAAGAAATGAAGGCAAAAACAAAGGAAAGGCAATGATATGAAAATGTCTTCATGCTCAGGGATAAATTTTTGACCGGGGAATCCGTCCATGATAAAAAAATTCGAAACTTATATGAAGTGACAGAAATATATGCTTCAGACGATCTCAGATCGTCTGGTGACTGTCTGGAGACGGACTAATTTTGGAAAAGGTATTACATCACATGAGTTTTCAAATCTTTTTACATAATACTTTTGCAAATAATTTTCTATACAAACAACTCAATTTTGGTGTCATATGCTTCTGTGTGCGCAGTAAACAAGCAATTTGTTTATTCAAGCCTTGCTTTCAAATCGCGCGCACTTTTCGATCTTCACGATAGAGCATGTCAATCGTGTCATAACCTGTGTGAAAAGCTTGTGTTCGGCTGAATGGCGCTTATTCTTGGTGCTCGGCCCCTACTCGTCAAAAACGAAATCCTCTTTGCTCCAAAAACGAAGTCCAGCCTGCTTCCAGACAATCTGTGCCGGGCCCTGAACGGAATCATGCGTATTAGAGTGAAGGAAGATACATATTCTTTTTTTCAAGTTGGGGCCAAAATCTAAAATGCATGCAAAAAATGTCGAAGCTTAGCTAACGCCACAAATTCAAAAAATATCTTTTGCCTCCCTTTTGGGAAAAATTTTGCATATCAGTGAGACCCTCCGGTCAAGCAACACATGTGAAGGATTTTCAAAATAAAAGGCTGTCCGCCTGTGATCAGATTAATTTCAAGCTTATACTACAAAAGTAATCCGGAGCCAAAGCTTCATCAAAAAGTCGAAGTGTTTCTCAGCTCTTGATCAAAAAAGGCTATATAACCGTGATGAGACTTGAGCTATTCCACAATTTTTTTCTCTTAAATCTGTTTGCTGCTATAGCTTTCTGCGAGAATTATCCAGCAAAGAAATGTCAAAATAATTCCGCAAATGAGTTGTCATGATTTGTTGGTGATCTTTCCGGCAAGTCCATTGTCTGCTCTCCAATGCCATTTCCCGCCCACACAAAACAGCTGAACAGGATTTGCATAAATAGGGGGCGGAGCTGTTAATTGCTGTTGATTTTATCTCGCATGAAGAGAGTCGTCCTTATTTCAGTGGCGGTAATTTTTCACTTTATCTTTCCAAATTAAGAAAACCAATAAAGAATGTCCTTACAGGTTTCCTTGTCTGCCGCTCAGTTCCCTGGTAAGGACTATAATGAATTAATGACTGAATCTAATGCAATCATTTTTTGAAAAATATCAGTTGCTGTTACAGATGAGAAAATTTGCGTAGATAGCAATGTTGGAAAAATTGAAGCTGAAGAAATAGTATCTCTTTTGAATAGCAACCGCTCGGCCAATAACACGAAAGACATAGTAAGTTTACTACTGTGTACTGCTCTTAGTTATTTAGTGATCTTGCTGAAGTAAATATGTTTGATTAGTCCAGTTTTCACCACGAGTGCTGTAACAGTTATTCGACTTACATTGAGCAGCTCGCATTCGTCAGAGCCTGTAACTAAGGAGCAAGTAAGGTTTCCCTTCCAAATTTTCCACCAGATGTGAGGAAGGAACGTGAGTTTGGCACAAAAAGTGCTTGGAACAGTCAGGCTAGATTTTGCCAGCAATCTCAGGTAAAATGATAAGTAGCTACCAAGCATGGCTGCTCGAAGTCTATTAGAACGCTGGAGCTAAAAAAACGCGAGAAACTTCTAATTATGGCAAGCAGGAATCGAATTCTTTTGAAACCCAACATTCTTCCTGTACATTGCGTCCATTACCTCTCTGTGATAAAATCAACAGCGAAGTATCAAAATCTGTATTGCGACGCTGTAGCTTCCAGTGAGTGTCAAGGTGTATGCTATCACATGCAACCAGATGTCGTCAAAGTATTGAGTTGTCCGGAATAATGTCCGTTTTGCAAATATTAATTCCAAAGTGATCCGGTCTCGCATTTACCCCTAGACAGGGAACTGTATAAGACCACCTCCGAGGCTTATCAGTAGGGAGGAGTGGCTGAAGAAAAAGAAGAGGGATGACACAATAGCAGGGTCGCCTTTCATAACTGTAGGGTAGCTCAAATAGATCAAAGGCCAAAGAATTAGATCGTACTGTAATCATATTATAAACAAAGTTTTTGAGACTTCTGAAATTGCTAAATTGATTATACTTGTATGTAATGCATTTGTTAAAATGTTGAACAGTTGAATATTCCTAGCTGTATTATTTCTTTGTTATATTTCAATTCAAGTAATAGCCTAATTAGGATTTCATTTCTGTTGTGAAAATTTTCAAAATCAGCGCAAGTTCTGTGTAATCTTAGAACTTCTGCGTAAATAATAGCGCATTAAAGGCAGCGTTCCACCAGACCGGGGGTACCTGGCTCTCGTAATGATGTAATAGTAGACCCCCCAACCTAAGCGATGACTGAAGTTCGGAGCGAAAAAGGGGGTCTACCAAGCCTGAAATTTGCTCCGAAAGCAAGCCAAATCTTACGGTAGGATCGGGCGAGTGCGAGGTGCATGCAAGGTAGAGACGCAGAGTTTCTGCGGGTCCCTGCACTCATGATGTGTGCGCTATATGCACTCTGCCCTGTAAATCGATATTGCCATGTGGGCGGCGTTCGGCCCTACCGTAAGACTCGGCCCACTTTCGGAGCAAATTTCAGGCTTGATACACCCTCTTTTTCGCTGCGAACTTCAGTCATCGCTTAGGTAGGGGGTCTACTATCACATCATTACGAGAGCCAGATACTCCCAGTTTGGTGGGATGCTGCCTTTAAGCACAGAACTTATGTAAGAAGACCCATGGCAAAATCTGATTACTTCAAAGTCAAAATCATCTGTTTTGTTATATTGTTCAGTGTTTGAATTTCTGATAAAAATGTGTATATCAAGATTGCATTCACACTCTGCAGAATTTGTAGTCTCCAAATTCAAAACATTATTATAGACTTTATCCAGTAATAATTTTTTAAAATCTGGTTTTATCATGGATGATTAGAATATCATCAATATATCGATATGCTTGAAATAGAAAATTTGGATTTTGTACGTTGTGGGCAAAAGTATACTCAAAATATGAGAGAGTAAGATCTGCAATTATTGAGCTAGCATTGCCACACTAAGGTACTCCAATTTTTTGATCAAAAGTTGGTTTCTCACTCGGCAAAAGCTATTACGTAGAATATGATTAATAGATTAAATTATATCTTCTATTTTATAATACCTATACCCTAAAGTATTATCTTGTGTTGTGGAGTACATAACCCTGTGATTATTGTTGATTTTTATATAACTTTTGCATGCATTTCTGAAGCATATTTTGAGAATTTCTGTTGAATTGCGTATAACTATGTTGTGCGGAATATTGGTGAACATGTTGGTAAAGTCTCCCGAAAACAATTTCTTGTTGTCTGCTTCTACGTTTTTCAGGTCTGTAGATATACTAATATCATCAAGAACCCAATTACTTTGTAAGCATTTTCTATTTTTCATGAATGTATGCATAATTTCTGAAATGATTTCTGAAACTGAGAAGATGTAGTAACTTGAGTGTCATAGGCTTTGTACTACTACTGTTATAAGCACCTGAAATAACCCAAATTTTGTGGAATTCTTATGTAACTTGGGTACGCAATATATGACCAGCTATTATAACTTTTTTGTTTGTCAATGTGTTACTGTTTAGTCGCAAATGTAATATGTCTGTTAACTATTTCTTTTATATCAAGATATCAACCTTTTCATATATTTGATTGACTGATTTTGTGTAGTCAAGCCCATTTCTTCCATTGCAAAGTTTCAATTTGAAGTGCTATGACTTTGTTCACTCTTCATATTTCTAAATGCAATCAAAACCATCAGAAGCAGTCAATTCTTTCGTAACCTAACGCTCACCTGCATATACTGATAATGCAAACGGGAAGAAAACAATGCTTCAAAAAAAGAAAAGTTCCTCGTTTGAAAACCTCGTTTTTGAGAGATTACACTCCCTTCAAGTTTTGTTCCAATGGCCGCTAATCAGTTATTTTGTAGATGCAGGACAGTAGTATGCGATGGCATCGAAAGGACTTCAACGAAGGAGTTCTGCAAAAAGAAAACATAGAAATTCAAAATTGCTCACTTTTTTGAGCCTATTTGTGGTAGGCCAGAAAGTCCCAAACTATGGAAATTTGAAATTCTTATACATTGGATAACTAAGTTTTTTTTTGCAATTGTAGGAGAGATGTCCTGACCTCATGCATACAGAAATGAGCGAAGCTTTGGCGATTGCTCCAATTATGAGAAGCTTTGGACCCATAGAGTGCCAGCGGAGAGTATTCTCGGTTCTGGTAATTTCAAAAAATCTACTCAAACATGTCATAGGTAGACAATGTCCACCAATAGGGTAGCTATGTTTTCAAAAGAATCCGTTCATTTGCGCCTGAATTGTGGCCAAAGGAGTTAAAACAACGAAATTTCGATTCCGAGTGCAGCTGTGTGAGATGCTGATGAAATTCTCACGGATGAGGCAGAAGCTTAACTTTACCACTGTTAGAAATTACATGAAAAAAGTTAAAAGAAATGCAGAATCTATATCAGAAAAGAAATTTTGAAGGAAAAAAAAAGTTGTACGGAGTAGGCTTAAAAAACGGACATTATTTTTGCAATAGCCTAATAATATTGATTGACACAATGGTCTACACTTTTCCGATCTTTTTATGCCTGCATAAGTCACATGTCATGAGATAAATAATCCCTGAACACACCTAGTCTGGTTACCTTATAAGCAGTATCTTATGCACACATCCACAGCTTGAATTTGTTCGGTGCGTATATTCCTACTCTTCTAGTGCATTGCAATCAATGCTTACAGCGCAGCAAAAGTGCTCGCTGTTTGCCTTCATCAACTGTCCGCAAATCCGCAAATTCTGAGATCTTGCAAAGCTAACACTAAACTCGGAACTAGTTCCGAATTGCCGGACCTTAGCCTTTCATGACAGATCTGGATGGTTTAGAGGCTCTGCTATGAAATTCATGTCTATGTTAGCTAGCTTCTTCCCAGTGTCAAACTGTTATTTGGGTTCTCAAGAAAGCGATTAAGAGAATTGAGAGAAGTGTGAAAGCCGCTTTTTCTCGTTTCAGAGTTTGTTTCATGAAAAGAACTAAGAAAAATTTAAGAAAGCATTTCAACGCCAGTTTTGAGCACTTTGAAAAGTTATTGACAGATGGAGCGAGAGTAAAGAGAATACTCATTTTCAAATAGTTCTTAAAAGTGCAGGCTGTCTGTCGTTACTTCCAGTGAAAATATAAAGAAATCTCAAACCAAAAAAAAGTGACTCAGCAAAAGTAGCTGACAAGAGAAGGATACTGGTGACCGTGGTCATTCGTGATCAGATACATATCACTAAAAACGCCTCAAAACGCTGATTACATTTCTGCTTCCGTTATCTACTGAACGATTGCCTAAAATGAGTAAGTTATAGGCTTTTTCCTGCAAGATTTTTTGCATACTTAAGCGGTGTCAGAAACATTGATATCTGAGTTGTTGTTTTTTTTCTGAAGGTGTAAACTATAAGAGTTACAGAAGCTTAACGTGATTGTGACCTTGTTCATATATCGTTCCGAGGAGCGAAATAAGAAATTTGAGCGATGCTTTCTGCTTTCGCGTAGCAGAGCAAAAGCAGAGTCGAAACCAGCGTTTTGAGACGCATGCAGTGATATTTGTCTCATTACGAATGGGCGCGGTCACCAAGTGTCTTCCCTACCCTTCAATGGGGTTGGCGGCGGAAAGGCAGGGCCTCGAGGCTAATCAAGGATAGAGAATGGCATAGAGCACGCTCGCGAGAGAGACCCAGACTGCGTCGCGGGCGCGGCGATCGCCTTCCAGCCGTCAATCCCATTGAATCAAAGGATAGGTTCTAATCCGTTTCATTTTTGCATCATGAAAATGAATAAAGAGTTACAAGGAGTTTTTACCACAATATGGTAGAAACTCTTTGTAACTCTTTATTCTTTTTTTAATGAATAGAATTTGCCGCCCGTTTTGTTTCACGCAGTCGTAGTAATTGAACGCTTAAGGCAGCGGCTCGGCAAAATGACAAATTTGGGATATTCGTCGTTCTTGGTTCACCTGGATGAGGTAAGTCCAAGACTGTGCTTCGTATTTGAAGGATATCGATAACCCGCTTTCCAGACGTGAAAAGTGCTATTTGTGTGACGGCTATGCCTTCTCTTTAGAGCGCGATTGGCTCGTAAGTGGAGACACAGTACCCAACATACCAATGAGCCAATCGCGTTCCAAAGGGCAGACATACGCCGTCCACCCAAATAGTACTTTTCACGTCTGGAAAGCGGGTTACTGATATCTTTCAAAGGCAAAGCGCAGCCTTGACTTAGTTTATCAGGTGAACCGAGAACGATAAACATCACAAATTTGTCATTCTGCCGAGCCGCTGCATTCAAGTAGAGAATATACCGTAGCCTTTTCCACTGCGCTGAATACACCAACCTTAAACGGCTTGCATAGCAAAGGTTCCTCGAAAGCATGTTAATTAGCTCACCTAGCGGTCATCTAATGAAAATAATTTCTGTCGGAAAAATAGCTCAAGCATCGAACCGGCTTAATCTTGTTTCAGGCATAATTTAATGCTTTACAGTCATGGGATTGCGACTTTGCAGACTTAGCTGCAAATATTCTCAAATCGTGTCCATCTAGTGATGAAAAGCCTCTGAATACCACATATCGTTATCTTCATCGCGTGTGAGTTTGTTGAATCATTAAACTTTTCTGTGTTTGTGCCTGCCTCTTGAGTCATTCTTTTTTGTCTTTGTGGAAATCCGTATTGATTTGATTGAATTGTATTTCATAACTAGGATGAGGCAAAAGTTCAACGCAGTTTTCCTTTTCCATCAGATATAGCCCCTGGTAAAGCAACTCAGTGCAGGTGATCTGTGGCCGTATTCATCATTGATACCTTGAGGTAAATTCTACCTTGGGGTGAATTCTCAAGGTAAATTTTACCTTGAGTTTACCTCAAGGTTTTAGTATTGAATGGAAAGTACCTTGAGGTGAATTTTACCTCAAGGTAAAAGGTTTTGGTTGCTACCAAGGTTTTACCTCATTTTACCCTCTTGATAACTCTGCAAGAGGAACCTTTTCCATAAAGGTAGGTTCCATTGTTGTAGAAACAATATCACAAATTCAAAATCCGATTTAACTAGAAGCAATCAACTTCTTGTTGTTAGATAAACCAACCTTTGGGCTCGAAATAGTTGCTTATATAGACTGTACAGTTTCAAAATCATTGACTGTAAAACTCTGAACAATGTTCCAACACATTCCTAGTGAAAATATCACGGAAATACAAAAGAAAGCAATTTACTGCAAGTATGTCATGCCATGCTCCTAATATACGTCAATCCTAATCATCTTGGCACAGGTAAATCTAACCTTGAGAGAGACTTTGATAAATACGTAAATTATACCTTGAGGTAAATTCTACCTTGAGGGTTCATTCTCATAACATCATTTTAGTTGGAAGCAGGGGAGGTATGCTGAATAAAATCAGTTCTTTTTCTAAAGGACGGCCAAATTTGTCGAAAAGAACTCCGAAGTGTCTAAAAGCGTCGAAAAGCATTGAAAGCGGGCAAAAGCGCCACGCGCCAGCCACAAGCTCCTGAAAAATCACTGAGGTCTGTATGCTTAAAGTTATTGGCACAGTCAAGTTCTCTTTTTATTTTTTTTCGAAACAATTATCGTTTCAGACTTTAAAAGGGGCCAAGGTAACAGGTGAATAATGCAAAACCAAACAGGGTAAGAACCTTTCGAACTCAAGAACTAAAATTATATAAACTTCTTGAGCATAATAAAAAACAGTGATTGTAATGTGACCGGCGTGATTATCCAACGATGTTTTGGTAGAAAATGCAATCTCATAACAGAAATCTGCCACTTAAAGTTATTGGTATCACATTTCAGCTTTTTTGGGCTTTCGCATCCGAAAGGCAGGACCATTCCAAGAATTTATGTTTCAATTTTACAATTCTTCAATGAAGAGAAACCGGTGTTTTGTGCACGATGCGAATAGCAATTTTTTTTGAAGTAATGTCATATTTACGACAAACCCACTTGCAAACTTTGGTTCGAATGCAAAAGATTCAACAAAGTTACACTGTTGCAAAGTTAGGCTGAAAGACTTTGCGACAGCCTGTACATATTTCTTCGAAGCCACTACAACTTGCTATTCTCCGCTTATAAGCGAAAATGAGGTGCAAACTCATGTTTTGTCAAAATATGTAGTTTGAACAAAGAAAATGACCACAAATTCCCTTTAATCTTTTAAGACCTGGGACATTCTCATTTTATCGTGTTCAAACATGTAACGGTACTTTGAACCGTCCCCCTATCAAAACATGTCATCTCGGGCCCGAAGGACACAATTAGCAATAAATGTTGTCCTAGCAAAAGTTTGTGGCAATAAAACCCTATGCGCCGCTAAGACGTCATAGCGTGCTCTAAATAAACGTCAGTGTATATCAAGCTGGCAAAGGTAGAATTTACTTCAAGGTACGTTGATGAATACGAATCGCTCAAGGTGGAATTTACCTTGAGGTAAATTTTACCTCAAGGTAAAATTTACTTCAGGTTTAATGATGAATACGGCCTCTGAACTGAGGTCCTCATCCGAGACTGCTTAAGTTCAAATAACAACCGCCATTTCCCATGCTGTACAAAGAATGCAAAATGAAATATCAATTGACCGTCTGTCTACCTGACGAGGTTGTCTACCTTACTTAAATCAGTTCAAATTCAGTTAAACAAGGAATCGATTCGAAAAGTGTTTCAATGATGATACGCAAAAAAACTTTTCGTAAGTTACTCCTGAGTAACTTACGATACACGTCATTTCAACAAGTCGAAGGAATACGAGCCACATCTCCGCCGCTAAGACCAATATAGTATAGTATAGCATCAATAACTAGTATCAATAACTATAGTAAAAGTAAATGTATAACTAAGTACAACTAAGTATAAGTAAGGTTCAAGTATATATACTATACTATTAGGTTGATGCAAAATTAATGAGCGTTTTTCTAGGACTTCTTTGTGGACAACTTCTCTCAACCAAACTTCTTCCTTTAAAACAGATTCAACACATTTTCGAGAAGCTCTTGCCATGCTCTATACAAAGCTGCTTAAAACGGACATTTAACCTGGGCTGTTAAGAATTTATAGGGCTTCAAATGACAGCACTCAAAACAAGATTTTTGTTGCATTCACTTTTCTGGCCAGAATTCAAGCGCAAATTAAGGCGCGTTTTCAAAAATTTAGCTACTATATGTAATAGAAATTGTCTACATTATGTATGCTTAACCATATTTTTTGAAGTTATCTATGCTAAGCTATCGGCGCCTTAAGGTAATGGTTGCGAACATTCTATAGCCCACATTTTTCTTTTGTAGAATGCAATCTCCCTAAAGTTTTGCTCATTTTCTGTAAGCGTGAGGGAAGAGCATTCTGTTGACAGCTTTAGCAAAGGCATTTAGCTGTTCGGCACGCAAAAAATCAGAAAATTCTACGATTCGGGATTTTGAGGCCTACTGAAAAAATGCTGAAAAAGTTGATATTTTTGAGCTTTAATTTTTTCCTTTCCGCCAATCTTTTTTCTCCAAGCTCTTTCTATGTTTGTTTGTACTACTGACTTGCGGCCACAAGATAGGCTACATATAAATCATACTAACAAACTGAAGGGAGTTATGTTTAGTCAAGAACGAGACTCCAGAATAAAACTTGTTTTCTTTTTCAATTCATATTTTTCTGCACATGTGAGATATGAGTACAATTTGATGTGTGTTGTACTGCGAAAGGTTCGCTGAAATGAAGATTTGGAAAATGTTCATTATTTTTGCATCAACCTGATATATTAGATTGAACCGAAAGTTCTGTCGCACCATTTTCAAAAAATCATAATTTCTTTCCGTCAGGACGATTTTGCGCCAATTTTTTCTGAAAGCTCAAAGCATGTTGTTTCCAAGGATTTCCTGGAGACTTTCCAACATGCTCAGGTTGCAGAGATAAAAATGAAAGAGCGAGATCATCCGAAATTCGGAATTTTTAAGTAATTCTAAAAATCTAGGAAGTGGGCGATAAAATCCAGAACAGCCATCATCCGATGAGGTCTTGTATTTTATTACTAACTGAGTTAAGTCTGTGCTTATTGATCTCTTCTTTCAAAAGTTACGATTTTTTGAAAAAAAAATGCCGAAAAATCAATTTCCTAGGTTTCCTTAAGAAATCGATTTTTCGGCATTTTTTTTCAAAAAATCTAACTTCTGGAAGAAAACTTCGATCAGCACAAACTTAACTCAGTTAGTAATAAAGTATGAGAAATCATAGAATGATGGCTGTTCTGGATTTTATCGCACACTTTCTAAATTTTTAGAATTTTTGCTTAAAAATTCCGATTTCGAATGATCTCGTTCTTTCATTTTAATCTCTGCAACCTGAAAATGTTGGAAAGTTCCCAGGAGACTTTTGGAAACTACATGCATTACGCTTTCAGAAAAAATTTCAATTGCGCAAAATCGTCGTGACGAAAGGAAATTATGATTTTTGAAAATGGTGCAACAGAACTTTCGGTTCAACCTAATATTATATTAGGTTGAAAAAGTTCTTTCGCACCAAATTTAAAAATTTATAACTTGTTGAATTCTCAACGTATATGCAAGATCTAAATTTTCTATAAGAGAGAAGCTCATGCTCTTTGTAAATGTGCTTGAACTGTTCGTTATTGTATACAAATGAAGGAGATAGAAGCTCAAAACCAAAATCACTCAAAATTTGAATTTCTTGTGTAGGTTCATAAAAAATCGGGAACTTGCAGCAAAAATCGGAGCAGTCAGTATTGTAGGTTCTTTCATAAGCTCTTTCTAACAGTGCAAAGTTTGCGCCGATTGAGCTTCTCCATGAAAAGTTATGATTTTCGAGCAAGCAATACAAAAGGGCGAATTTGATATATTTTGGCATTTTTCAAGGAATTCATAAGTTTTCACAAAGACGCTCAATCGGCGCAAACTTTGCACTGTTGAAAAGGGCTTGTGAAAGAACCTACAATACTGACTGCTCCGATTTTTGTTGCAAGTTTCCAATTTTTTATGACCCTACACGAAAAATTCAAATTTTGAGTGATTTTGGTTTTGAGCTTCTATCTCCTTCATTTGTAAACAGTAACGAACAATTCAAGCGCGTTTGCAAAGACCATGAGTTCCTCTCTTACATAAAATTTAGATCTTATAAGTTCGTTGAGAATTCAACATGTTATGATTTTTTGAATTTGGTGCGAAAGAACTTTTGCATCAACCTAATATATAGTATATAAATAAGTATAAGTAGTAATATAAGTATAACTATACTATAATATTAAGAACTCGTTCAGATACTTGCATGCACGTGGCCTTCTGAATTATATCATCGCAAACGGTTGACATCATCAATCAATGGCTCGACTGAGAGCAAGCCGACTCGTCGAAGCCTCAACTGAAATTTTATTCAGTTGAAATCGAATAGGGCAGCTTTACTACGGGCACACTCTCCATTAAATTTTCCAATTTCGTTCAGTTAATTGCATGCTTTGAATACAGAGGGTTAACCTTTGATTCAACTGGCTCGGATTCGGGAAGGTGGGACTTTGTGACCTAATTAAAGCCGCTCGTGCCCGCGACGCACCTGCGTCTCTCTCGTGCGAGTGTTCTCTGATTTTATTGATTTTTTTGCAACGTTTGAGCTACGGGGCTGGGAGCTGGCACAGGAGGGGGGAGGGGAGTGAGCATGCTGATTACTAACACAGCGGGAATAAAGAATTGGCATGTAGACGTGGGCACGGGAAAAGGTTAGGGATAGGAATGAGAGCTATCATAGTGTTTCGACAGGGCGGGGAGGAGCAGTGTAAACCAGCTAGTTAAGAATAAACAACACTAATAGTTTATGGAATTTTACAAATTCCTCTCCATTTATCAATTTTTGCAAAATTGAGCTACGGGCGGTAGCTGGCAAAAAGGGGGTAGGAGAGACGTTGACTACGAAAACAATGTTTTTTTTCTTTGAAAAACCATTACCTCTATTAATCTCATCAATTTCTTACAAACTTTGCCCTATGGAGCTGGGAGTTGGTACAGAGGGAGGGGAGAAGTTAAAATATATGGCGGTTACCAAACAGGGGCAAAGCTGGGACATGGAATCGGACAGGACACGGAAAGGATGTGTGGAAGTGAGAACGAACGGCGAGTTTTATCATGTTATGTTGATAGGAACCTAACAAAGCCGGTTATCCCTCCGCAGTCCTTTGATCCAAATTTTTCTGAAAAATAATAAATCGATATCTGTCGGAAAGGGATAGTCTACTACACCGCCCGTCTCAAAATGTGTAAAGTGTCTTCTGATCGGTAAAGATATGTAGGAAAATAAAAACTTCTATTTGGAGCATACGAAGCGACTGGGCGGGATGGGGAAAAGGCGGGATCTCTACCCTCAAAAATGGGTTGTAGATTTTTCAAAAGTTACTTATGTGGTTATAAAATTGTGCAACTACTTTGCTTTCAAGCAACAATTAACAAAATTTTCAAATTCTTAAGAATGTAGTCCTGCAAAAGTATTTATGAACCTTTTCCGTTTAAAATTTCGGGTTTTATGTGCCTGCAAAAGTTTGAGAAAGCATTTTAAAAAGAGTTTTGAAGTTTCATTGCCACCGCGACGTATCTTCGCTCAAAAAATTCTTGTTGCTCCGTCTTTTCAAAAAAAACTTCTCGAAACTGCCACAGATACATACTTACGTATACATCTGCAAGACTACTTTAAGCTAGAAATGATAGCATGTCTTTCATTTTGTCATGTGTGCAGCGTTCTCATTTCTGCTATGCTGCAAGCTTCCACTTGTGCCCAAATATAATAACAAATAATCGTTATTTATAGTATCTGTATGAGAACCTATGGAAGAATGATTTAGGGATTATGGTGATTACGAAACCCTCATGACAATACTGCAAAGAAATCTCGATCTACAAAACTATAACATCGGGGACTATCAATCTTCTTACAGCGATAGACTACGATCAGCTGAACTTGTGATTATATCGTGATCACCAGATATTTCCGTGTTCTAAGTTACTTGTTACAGCTGATGAGCCCAAAAGCTACGAAGATAGGATGCGACGTACGACGATGCAGGGGCAATGTAGATGTGCTCTGCATAACCGATGAGCCGTAAGTGCTACATGTTTTAACGTGAATCTCCCGAAAAGCCATTGGGTAAACTATTTACCACTTTTTCAACAAAAAAAAAATGTTCTGTACATTGCGAACATCTGTAGAACTCATGCTTTTTGAGTCCGTACAGAGTGCATAAAGTCAGACACCTGACAAAGGGAGCGGATTAGGAGAAAACACGCATGGTTTCTCTAATCCTTTTTCAGGATTACTGGACATATACCTCAAAGTACATTCACTTTCAGCAAAAAGCAAATTTGATTGTGGTGAGCGAACTATTTGCGTAAAACTTGGTACCCTTATAGTTCTCTGTATGCTAAACATCGACTAAACACTCGGAAGGCATAGCTGTTTATCATCTTGAAAGAAACAATCATAATCTTCCTAGGGAATGCTTTTGAGATGGTAAGGCCTACCTTTCAAAGAAAAAACTGCAGTACTTGCACTTTATACGCATATATGTACAGGCAAGCAGTCTCATGCACTTGTTGTTAGAATGGCTAAGCATCAGAAAAAAAAACTGCAAAGTTTGCAAAAAAGAGTTACACATTGCGAAATGGTTCACTTTCGAGTTTTCGATAAATATCATCTTGCGCGGTTTTAACATGTCTGGAACTTTGCCTTTCAACGAGAAGAAAAGGACCTTGTGCAATTTATCGTGCTTTCATGATTTCTAGGCAAATTCGCTTTCGTAAAAGCTTTGTGAGCTATAGGGCAAATTCTCCATAAGAAAAAAATTAATTGGCTGCGATTTTTTCCTCATACAAAAATTCGATTGCTTCGGGTACCAACCAGTGGCGTACCCAGGATTTCGGCTCGGGAGGGGGGGGGGCGCGCGACAAAAATTTTTTCTAAAGAAGGTGCGTGGCGTTATCCACGCACTCCGAAAAAATTTTTGGGGTGCTTCTAAAATTTTTCCGGGTCCCCGACCCCTAAAATCTGGAAAAAGGGGGCGTGGCGTCAGCCACGCCCCCGAAAAAAATTTTTTATAAGGCTAAAATGAATTTTTAGAAAATTTTAAGAATTATTTTAATTATTTACAAGTAAAAACAAGTCACTTGCACATTTTTATAACCCATGTAAGTAACTTTCAAAAATTTCGCGACCCGTTCTCGGGGGGGGGCCCCCCCCCCCCGCCTCCCCCCTCGGTACGCCACTGGTACTAACTAATAGGGTGTCCCACAATTTTTTACCGTTTTTACTACAACCGTCGTTTTTTTGTATCTTTCCTTCAATTGATGTACGACTGATCCTTCGAGAGGGCAAAGCAAGCACTACAGGATGGCTATCAAGAGTCGGCTTAAATCGTATGAGTGAAGTTCTGAGTTTGAATCTGATAGCATTCAAAAACGAACTTTGTAAAAAACCGTATTTCCGCCCAAAATTTTTCAAAAATTCCTCCTTTATCCTAGTATAGGCTTGACACATCTAACATTCAACTGTACACTTTCTGTATTTTTTTCCATGGTTAGAAATAATGAAAAAATAAGTGGAATAAAACGTTGCATGTTAAATGTTAATACTCCGCCCGAGAAGTCCTGAGCTCTCCCACGCACGTGATCATATTGCCCATGCATACAGTACAGTAATACGGTCATGTGTTTGCATCCTTTGTAGGAGCCCTAGTTCTCGAGAAATGCTGATGTTCAAGGTAAAAACGGTAAAAAATCATGGGACACCCTAATACATTGTTCACTCGATGAGCGCAGCCTCCACCCAGATTCATGCTACCTGGAACAACTTCTAGTCTATAAGCAGGCTGTGGGTATAGCATCTGCTTTGGTCAGGTGTTCTGATCTTGCCTAAATGATTCAATTTTTCCCCAAATTTTTGTTCCAATTTTTATTTACTTGATTGTGTAAAACAAAATCAAAAAGATTCTCCAGTTTTTGTTGGAATTTGCTACGTCCATCCATGATTCCTGATGCGCTCTGAATGGCGGACACATTCTAACTATTTAGGTCGGTCCAAAAGTTCCGTTGCTTCATTTTCAAAAAATCATAACTTCTTGCTGTTTGTAATTTGTAAAATTGCCTTGCTGTGTTTTATTGGAAAAAAAGAAACTTTCTGCTTTGTTGCATTATCTTAGCGAAATTTTCCCGAACACTGTCTGCACAGATAAAGTTGAATGAAGAAGATTATTCAAGCTTTGTTCATTTTAGGCCTCCAAAAATCTGAAATAATTTTTAGTTTACTTCAAAAAACGCTAGAATTAGCTGATTTGTCACTTTTTCGGGGGAACTTTTTTAAGTTGCAAAGGACAGGTCATACTCATGTATTGACGATTTTAGGTTTTTATGCAGCTTTCCAGATTTTGTTGGTCTAATTATATATGACTAGCGACCCTACGGGTCGCTAGTAAGTGGGTTGGGGCAGATACATTGATAACTGTCTGCAACTAAGAATAGCAAGAGGATGAATTCCCATTTTTTCAACGATTTTTTCGCAATGCAAGTAGTAATAGAAGCAAGATCAGGCTCAAGCAAACTTTTTACAGCGGCTAACTACCAAATCATATGCGTTGTTCTTCTTGCAAAGCTCCAACCCCAGCTCCTAAAAATGGAAATCGCCTAAGCAGTCATCTATGCGAAAAGCTGATTCAACCCGAAGTTCAAACTGACTTTCACGAATGTGCGACGGCCGCAAACACATCGAGCTTCGCGATCATGCACATTCCTACACTTTCCTTATAATGATAAGAAAGATAGTTTTATTTGTTACTCCGTTTCGTCCCTTTCCTTAGACGGAGTTTTGAGATCTAGATTCCTTATAATATCTCGCGAAGTCATTTCTTGAAGCGAGATCAAGTCCGCTCAAAGCTTTCTTTTGGAAAATCTTAGCAAACATGTCCTGCCTTATAGACCGAGACCACGAGATCAAGTCCCCTTTCCTTTTTTGCTAAAGAGGGCAGAAGTATGATTTCTGCGAAGTAAAAGCGGCCAAAATGGGTTTCAAGCAATATTTTTTGATAAGTTAGCATTGATCTTGCCGCATAAGCCCTCGGGACCTTCCTTCTCTCAAGTCCAAGTTTGCTTTGCTTCTCTATTGTAGAAGGTAGAGGTATGATTTCTGCGAAGTAAAAGCGGCCAAATTGGATTTCAAGAAAGCTTTTGTACAGTGTAGCATTGAAATTGAGAAGTTCTTAGCAGAAATGCATTGCCGCATGAAGCCCTTAGGCCTTCCTTCCCTCGAAATCAAGCTGTCGCTTTGCTTCTTTGTTCTAGGAGGCAGAGGTTCAATTTCCGCGAAATATTAGTTTGTAAAGGAAGAGTGCGGGCAGTTTTAGAGATTCGTTTTTGATGCATTTTTTTGCCGCTCCGTCGGTATTTGATACCGAGTTTTTATACTGTTCGGTAGAAGGAAGCCTAATCTTTTCGAAGCTGCTTCTAATTTTCATCGATACCAAAGCATGTATGATCTGCACATCAAAAAAGGAAAGCTTTCTAACCATGACAATTTCACAATTTTTCTTCCTGCGGCCATTTTTCGTGAAGTTCATAGGTTTTCGTCCAAATTGTGAGTGATCCAATCGAGAAGACTGTTAGCGTCTGACCCGCAGCTGCACTCGTTTTGCGATTGCGCTCAGAAATTACAAGCTATCAAACTTGCATCTGACTGCAACTATTTTCGCAGCTGGCATGGCTTCTGCGAGAATCGCCATTGGTCCAAAAGATGTATAAGGCATTAGCCCAACAATCTTCGCAATAATCAAAGATTTGCTGTCTCCTGTGGAGAACGAGAAGACTTCAAAGTCGCTTACTCGAAAAGTGCATTTTTGAGGCAAAAAATGGCCGACTTCTTAACCTTTCTGGAAAAACTTATTTTGCAAATAAGTCGCTCAAAGGCGTAAATAGTCTCCAAGACAGCCCTGGCAGACTTCTATATAACTACAGCATATGAGCTGTCCAGCTCTCACATGCCTGAGATATTCTGCGATAGGTTACTTTTCGGGTCAACTTTTTTTCCCTTCTGCGCATGCTGGTGAACCGCAGCGAGACGATGAAAAGCCAGCAAGATAAATATATGTTGTAAACAAAATTGTCTTTGCAAAGAAGTTTGTGGCTTTAAAGAAGAATCAATCTGCTTGAAGTTACAGCAGTTTGAAAAAAAATTTTTGCAAGTGCCCGGAAATTTTTTCAAGACCTAATAAAAGCGGTCAGAAGTGGATTTCAGATTTGTATAATTTAGCACTGAAACTGAGAAATTCTTAGGGGAAATGTTTGCCGCTTGAAGCTCTTGGAACCTTTTTTTCGAGACCAAGCTCCCTTTGCTTCTTTGTTATAAGAAGCAGGGATGTGATTCCCGCGAAGTAAAAGCGGTTAAAAGTGGACTTCAAGGAGCTTTTGTATAATTTAGCATTAAAACTGAGAAATTATCAACAGAAACGCACTGCCGCATAAAGCTCCTGCAGCTTTCCTCCCTTCGAGACCAATTCTCCTCTGCTCTTTTTGATTTTCTGAGGCAGAAGTACGGTTTTGTTTTCGCAATTCGGTCTCGTATATCATACTTGTGGCCATTGTCTTGTTGCCGTAGACTGGTTATCCTATTGGTGCTCAGTTTCCCTTTCGCAGTTGAACCATATTTCGCCAAAGTTTTTTTGCGGTATGATCATCTAACTTTGGATGCGTCCGGTTTCTGCAGTGTTTATTTTATATGCAGTTCTGCTTCAATTATATCCTTGGCCGATGCTTATCTTGCATAACTCTGTAGTGTGTGAAAGTGGAACTGCAGATTAACCGCAACAGGGGGGAAAAAGCGTGGAAGATGGAAAGCATGGGCGTTTGCGCTTGAAATACCAAGAATCTGATGATTTTGCGCTTCTATGACAAAAGCGGCCAGCTACGGCTACGGGCTGCCGGCGGCGGCTGCCGTCGCGGTATGAAGGCACTTTTATAGCGATACTAAAAGATATAAAACTCGCCGAAGCTTTCTATCGGATAATCTAGCAAAAAGGTCCTGCTGTGAAGCTCGTGGCTCTGTCCTTCTTTTGAGACCAG